ACAATGGCCAAGTCGCAGAGTGTAATAAAGTCTCAGCTGGAGAAGGAAATGTAAGGAACATTTTTTAGTATAGAAAATGATAGTAAAGTACGTTAAGTTCAAACTGGTCTTTCACTTGGGTTCTATTGAATTAGTTTTTAGAGGGACACAGTTTTGTTAGTAACTTAGTATACGCTATTTACCTAGCCAAAAAAATGTGAATTTGTTTTCTGCAGAAATAACACCAAATGTTGTTTTCAGTTTTTCAAATGTGCATGACTTACACAACACTGGAAGCGTAACTCCGGCATTTTCTCCAGTGAGAAAGCCCTTCAAGAGGAAAAGGTTGTCTTCAGTCTATGAAATTGGCAGAAATTGGTGGCATTTTGGAGATTCATAATTCTTTCGCATCGTTTTATTTTGGGAAGGTGGGAAAGGCTATAGTTTAAGATAAATAATTCTATCACTTCACACGCAGCTAAATACAGGAATTGCACCCTATTAAAGAGCTAACCATTCAAGTCAGCGAACCGAAACGCTACTCAGGCTAGCCGGAGTGCTGTTAGGCTAACCAGAGTGGTATTTATGCTAACCGGAGTACATGTTAGCCGCTAGTACCCCCTCCTCCTCCACAATTCCCTGGCATTTAGCTAAATACTTCAATATTGTGTTTCTTTTTTCAGTACCACATTGCGCGTGACTCGTGCCGCTGCCCTGCAAGGTCAAGACGGAGGCTCAACTCGAACCGCAGGGTATGTCGGGAAGAAAGGCAAGGATTTTGAGTTCAGTCACGTGTTACCAGTGACGGTGGAGTTCGCGGAGTGCAGTGCAAAAGGACAGGCGGACGGTGAAGCTGATGTTACTGCTGTGGAAAAATGGCTGGAAAAGATCGCATAAGAACATCAGACTAACAGAAAGAGGAACGATTATTTAAAGAAGTATAAGTTAGAAGTGGCTAAAAAGACTGTTAAGTAACCTTTCAGAAGGTGGAGGCTAAAACGTTCTGTTATAACAACATGAACGAGCCGCATTTTACGCAGATTGCGTTCAGACTCGGTGCAATTTAGGCCCTTTATTATTTTCGATTATATCGGTATTCATTAAGAAGAAATTGCCCCTCCAAAGTAATGTTTACTTGAACTAAGGTGACAAGGGAAATTTTCATTAAAAGTACATGTATACAGAAAAACTTGCCTCAAGAGATGTTGACGTGGTGTTTTGAATTTTTTTTTCGTTAAATATTTCCAGTGTTTTCTTTTTTCACGGTTTTTTGACTTTTGCTAGTCAGTGCGGTGAGTGTGAAGCCCACTTTACTACAAACATGCTTCTTGGGTTTGAAAAAGATAAGGCTGTTGAACTGTACGGGTCCGCAAATAATCCCCAAATTGAACAGAAAATGATCCCGGACCGGAAATGATCCCCATATTGGACCGCAAATGATCCCGATCAAAAA